TTGTCTCTCTTCTCTCTTGAATACTTTACAAATTTCTTCATTCCATCATTTAATCCCTATTATTTGCATATATTGTCTGATTAGCTTAAGGAAAGATCTAAGTCCCTAAAGTCCAGTAAACTTTCATTCTTTTAATAGGTACTACATAATGTTTTACCCCTGTTAGCTAGGTAACTGTTTAACCCTAGTAATTTTCAACTGTTAGTTGCAGATATTACTGCAGTATTGATGCCCTGAAAAAAAATACCTTAGTTGACAATTTATTATAGATGAGCCCTACAGAAAGTTGAGGAACTTTCAATAAAACAGGAATACAGAGGTATGCTAGACTATACTCAACCTCCCAAAATCTGGGAGTATCCCTTTCAAAAAAAAAAAAAATCATCATTTTTTTTAATCTGCGAAAGGGTCATAGTGTAACCATATTAACAGTATACAAATTAAATTGCATTAAATTTAGTGTTTTCTTAGGCCTTTATCATTTTTGTTTGGGGTGTTTTTTTTTTGGAAATTTATCTCTGGCAGATCAAATGTAGACCAGGGCTCAAAAATATTGCATATCTCTATGTTTATTTACTTAAAGAATGTATACGGCCACTTTTCTCAGTTAGTGATTCTAGGTGACTCACAACAGTCAATAAAAACAATAGAATAAAAATCAGAATGACCCTTCCCACCAGGTGTCAGGCTAACTAAACTATTGACCTCCACCCTAGCCCAATACTTGAGAAAAGAATGAAGTATTTATGGCCTTTTGGTTGGGGTGGGGGAGAGGAAGCAAATCTAAGGTGGGAGGTTATTCCAAAGGGCTATAGTGCCTCTGGGGTGACATCAGATGACAGCAGTCCCACACACAACCTTGCCCTATGCAGCTGAGATCTAGTGCAGCTCATTGAGAAGTGGCTAAGGTACAAGTGACCATGAAGAAGGTCTCCTGGTCCAGAAATGGATACAATTGGCACACAGATGAATTTATGCAAAGACCCCCAAGACCACAGATGCTTTTCCAGGAGAAGCCATAATTTCTATATGTCCACCATTATGTAGATCCACCATTATATTTGCTGTTTCTTTTCTATTTTTATAACTGTTCAAAGTCATTCCAGACCTACATTGTCAATTTCAGAGCCAACCTTCACTTATTAGGAAAAAAAATATTCTGGAATGAAAAACTGAAGCAAGCAACAGTTTCATTTACAAATTTTCAGTGAAAAGAGGGATACACATATAAATACACATCACAGTGCAATTTACATTGCATTTTCCTCAACATTGTAGTTTTCTTTTGTGTGTCTACGCAGTTTCAAGAAGCAGTCCCGCAAAAGTATACAGTAATTCAAGCAAAATCCACATCCTTCCTCTTTACATATTGTAACACTCACCTTAATGCACTGTGTATATATGTGTGTGTGTGTGTGTGTAAAATTATTCTTTTATTATTACGTCTATAGTTTACATGTAAATTATTATTAAATTCAGCACATCAAGTAATTCTTGGAATAGCTTTAATTTTTGAGCCAAGAGTCATGCTGGTATTAGAAGCTGTTTTGTGAACATTCAGGTTTAAGAATGTTGGAAAACTAGTTAGATGTTGATAAATAGTTTAGGCACTGAGAAGATTTTCTGCCAATTGTGTATTATGCTTTTCTAGTTGACAAGAAATTGAAAGAGTTTTACAATCTAATTGTCTGATAAATAAAAGGTATATGAGCAAGTACAGGTAGTCCTCGAGGTATGAACCTAATGGAGTCTGCCCATTAGGATCATAGATCAAAAAATTCATCAAATGAATCAGACTTAGTTTCACAAATTTTTAAAATCAAATTCATTAATTGAATCAAATGGGTTGTTAAATGAACAAAGATCTGACTTACTATTTCCTCCGATTTGTTAATTGATCGCTGCCGAACTTTCCCACCGGCTACCCATCAGCTGTTTCCGGTACAGCCTTTGCTCAGGAACTAAATTGCCTCCAAGCAGGCTTGCATCCATTGCAGTTGCTTTAAAAAAAAAAAAAAAAACACTTGTTGCTAGTCAGCTCAAGTGTCTTCGGCTGCCCAGAGGAGGGTTGGGCAATAGTTTACAGAACTCTCAGATTACAATTGCTTTAAAAAACCCACTTGCTACTAATTAAGTAGCTTAAGAGTCTCCAGCCAGGCATCCAGAGGGAGATGAGGGAGGGATTTACAGAACTCTCAGTTTGCAACAGTAACAGAGATGGAAGGGACCTTGAGGTTGTCTAGTCTTTTACCAAATTCCTTTTCTAAAATCAACTTATGTTCATTCCTCTCAGCTGGGAAATGACAAAAGGAAAGTAAGAGTTCAGTCCTGACTGGCTCAAGGTTGGATCAGCCTTCCTTCTGTTGAAAGAAAAGTCTTCATCATAGTTCAGTCGAAAACGGAAATAAACAACATAGCGACTGCTTTAGAAAGAAGGTTGCAGTTTATTGAAGAGGAGAGCCAGACAGAAAAATTGCTCTGGCAGAAAAGAGAGAGCAAGCACATGTAGGGAGTGGGTTTTATACCTTCTTGAGCCTTTTGTTTGAAGTTGTTCCTGTGGCATGAACTTTGACCTGAGTCTGAGTGTGCCTTTCTGGTATTCTGATGCTGCTGAGTTAATCCTATTATGTCCCAAGGTCAATCCTGCTTCCCTGTGGCTGTGGTTGATGACTCTTAGATTTTTGGTGTTGATTCTAGGGATCTTTCTTCCTAATCCCGGTTTCCTGATTCCAGTTTTTCTGACAAGATTATCACCTGCATTTCTACAGACTTGGGTTTTTTGGGGGGGACAGAGAGACTTGGGGACAGGGTTGGTTTCTGCTTTTAAAATCCTTTAGGGAAATATATTCTGCCCTTTTAATATTTCCTTCTGTGGAGGGCTGACTTCCCACACATCCTTCCCAGGTCAATAAAACTGCTCTAAACTGCTTAGAGAGGACTGTAAAGTACTATGATGTGGTATATAAGTCTAGGTGCTATTGCTATTTCAGATTTTTAGTCCTGTGATTTTGAACTTATACGAAATACTTCAACTTGTGTATGCTGCTATATGCTGTCACTTTTGTTCCTCCAGTGATTGGTAAACACTGGCTTGTATGGAAAAACTGAATATTCTGGGAATATTTCATCTTTTCTCCAGACTATGTCAGTCTAGCTACTGCAGGAGAACCTGTATGTTTTTGGAGTGATTTGTTCTCTGCACATTTTTTTTCTGGTTGCATTTTAAAAATATACAAACATTGATCCTTTAGTCATTGTTAATGTTAGTGATATCCGATACTAAAATGTCCTTGTAATTAAGTGATCAGTTTGATTATTTTTATTAAAACATACATCCTGTTCTTCTGGTGCATATTATACACTATAACCTAGGTTATAATTAAATCCAGTATAAGTTTAAAAGAAAGCAAAAGCAATACCTTTCTTCCCAAAATCAGTTACAAGAGACTAGCTGATAAAAATGGACCAATAATAATAATAATAATAATAATAATAATAATAATAATAATAAAGTTGGAAGGGACCTTGGAGGTCATCTAGTCCAACCCCCTGCTCAGGCAGGAAACCCTATACCATTTCGGACAAATGGCTGTCCAGTCTCTTCTTAAAGGATATATTTAAATAAAATGTATCCTTTAAGGATATATTTTATTTAAATAAAAAGGATAATATGTTCAAATGAAGTATATTCAGTCTGTGGGAAGAATACCTTCCTAAATAGGAAGTCCTCAACCAGTTGGCCAGAGTGGATTCCAGTAAGGAAATTGGTACAGCCAGTAAGAAGGCATTTGTCTTGTCCCCATCAGTGGTCGCCCTGACATGGTTGGGACATCGGGAAGGGCTTAGAATTGCTAGAGTGGAAGCTGATTGGAAGACTGACGCTTAAATATAATGGAGCTAAACTTATGGATTGGATTGTATCCACAATCAAACTAGTCAAAACTAGTCAAAAACAATGTTCACTGTGGTTGGGTACATACATTGTGTTAATCCATAATATGTTTGTTTGTTTTTGCCAAAATCAGTAAGATCAACCAATTCTGGTTTGTAAAACCATAATTTAATCTTAGGTCTGATTTTTACTAAGAACTGGCTTAGTTATAATTTTTTAATAAAGTACACCTGGCTGAATTTGTACATGTTAATCCATAAATCATAATTTATAGAATAAATAAATAAATAAATAAATCATAATTTATAGAATAAATCAAAACCAAACCATTTTTTAAATTTTGTTTGATACATAAGCCCATCATGCATGACGTGTGAAGCAAATGACATTCAACAAAACACACTGAAGCAAATTGACTTAGCATGATGTATAGATGTTTCTTGTTTTGTTTGGTTTCAAAATTTATTTTGCAGGCTACCTGCAATTTAGAGAATGAGTTACAGCAGGCATGTCAAACTTGCGACGTCACGTGACATCGCGCAACGTATCAGGCCGGTTTTGCCATTGCCGGCAATGGGGTGGGCGTGGCTTCCATGTGACGCGTCCGGCCCGTGGGCTGGCAATTTGACACCCCTGAGTTACAGACTCATTGTGCATTCTGCTGTCGTAGTTCTTACTGTACTTCAGGACCAAATAAAAGAATCTCAATTAACCATCACCAATATGACAGTGGTGTAATATAATCCATTTGAACAAAAAGAATTGATTTTTTTAAATCACATTTTTGTTATCATAGCAATAAATGTAACCAAATCAATAAAAATACACACTACTTTTTATGTTATCCAAATTCATCCCATTCAATATGTTTTAGTAATATTGATGGGAAAGTGTAGTTATTGTATTTTGTTGGTCATTTGGTGGGACTTTGCTTTCCCTTCCTTTGACTTTGTTCCTGAGTTTCTGGTGAGACATGAGGTGAGGGAATGCTGATCTTGGCAGAAGAAAACTAAGATGTTAATTAAATGACGCAAGCCTTTGATTATTCTCTCTCTCTCTCCCCCCCCCTCCCCCTCTCTCTCTCTTACACACTTTCTGCCAAAGCTAGATTGCTCACAAGAGAAGGAAGAATAGAAGATACCAGTCAAATCTTGCTGATGAAATTACAGGAACTTCAAGAAGATCATTTCTGCCGGAATTAAATTGAATCTCTGTTTTGCTTATAAAAAGTGAAGTTGCCTGTACCAATATTCCAGGAAGAAAACGACAAGAGGTTTTTGGTTGCCAGAGGGTTTTTTTTTTCTTTTCCTTATTTCATTTTGCCTGCTTATTAGTCTACGGAGATTACAAAAAGAACAGAAGATTATTTTTTCTGGTTTTTAGTGCTTTTGAATATGTTTCACTCTCCGAATAAACTTTTTAGACCAGATATAGGACTTCATTATGATCATTCTTGGAAAAACTATAATTTTATTTAGTTTGCCTCTCCCCCCCTTTTTTTTTTAGATACAAAGATGTTTTGTTGTCAGAGCTTATTACTGTAACAATATTATTGTTATAGTATTATTTCTGGATTTAAAAGAAATACAGCGTTCGTGTCACTTCATGAAATACCATTAAGGAATGTGGAGGAAGTTTTATATTGTGCAACTTAAGTTTTGATTTTGAATTTTTAAGCCACAGGCACACCTATAGAACCAGTTTTATATTCTAAATCCAAATGTGAAACATGTCTTGGAAGAGAAATTATTTTTCTGTGGGACAGGGCGGCGTGCAAGGCATGTTTACCCCACGAAATACAACATCTATAGCACCAAGTAAAGGTCTCAGCAATGAGCCAGGACAAAATAGCTGCTTCCTGAATAGTGCATTACAGGTAAGAAATCTGAAATAATAATATGCCTGTCTTTTATATAAAAAAACTTTCTAATGTTTCCTATGCTATGCTGTTTTAAAAGCATATATACTTCAAAGTGCCGTGGAGTCCAATTTTGTTGGACCCCGATATAAACTTAGCTTCTCTTAATCTAGTTTTCAGATTCTCTGACATAGTATATATAACAGACATATATTCAGTATAGATGTAAGATATTTAGTATTTTGGATTTGAGCCCTTGTGTAAGTATTTTGCTATCATTTTTTAAAATAACAAGGTTGGTATTAAGTTTTACCTTTCCCGTTGACCATTTTTCAGAATGTATCAGACACCAAAATTGCTTTCCTGCTTTCTTGCTATTGCCACAATAGTACAGTAAGCATAGATACAACTGTGTGTGCTTCATTTGAATGAATTCTTGACAGGTTATTGGAATCCTCTTTTAATTTCTTTGCATGTGAAAATAATAAGAGACACGAATGTTCCATGTAAAATTTTGTGAATAAGACTGACAGGTGGATAAAAGAGATACTTCAAAAGTCTTTTATTTAGTAAAAATATTTTCATTCATTATAAAAATGTTTTTATTCGGAAGTAAAGGAGGGAAAGAAATGTTCAGAAGAGTTTTAAGATCCTATATAGCTTGTTTAGCTTTAAGAGGATATGGGGGAAAGTATACCACCTGAACATAAATTAAAAGTAGAAGACTAAAGTTCTAAAAACACTGCCACACCCACAAGGTTTACAGACTGGAGACAGTTAGTAAACTGGAAATTAGAGCATATATCCACGATACTTTGCTGTATGTCCACGTAGCACCCTAAAGTAAGATGATCTGGCCAATATGTTGTGATGAGCGCTCTTGTGAATCATAGCATAGGGAATAAAATGGAGAAACAGGATGAGAAGCTCACAAGGAAGAAGGAGAAATATGTATCCACTTGGCAAAAGACAAACATTGTGACAGGACTAAAACATGAGAATTCCTAGAACTTGACAAGCAACACAGAGTAGGCCCCTAATTGTTGCATCAGGAATTTTGTTGTTGTTGTTGTTGTTGTTGTTGTTGTTCGACCCTGAATCTAGCATTAAATGCCAGAATTATTTCATGTGCAAGAGGAGTTCTGATCAGATGGAATGCTTATATATTATAGGCAGAGAGTCTCAGTATTACACATATTAATATTTGCTAATTTTACTTTTATAATTCTAAATTTATAATTTGGAAACTTTAACTATAAACATTATAACTAGAATGCTAAGCATTACAGCTGATTAAGTATTTTCAACAAAAAAATGATAATTTAATGAACAGCTATGAATAAAGGAAAATATTTAAATCCCCTTCTCTCCACTTTTAATATAAAAGTATAATTTTCAATAAAATACAAACATCTTATAATAAGAATAGTGCAATTAACATGAGAGTTTTTATCTAAGTCTTAAATTTATCTAAATCCTAAACCTCTATATAAACTCATTTGGTAATTAAGCAAGAGGCTCCAGAATGTATGTCTGTAATATACTGTAAAGAATATCTCATTTAAATCCTTTTCACTCTTCAAATTAGTCTCTTGGAGTAATAGCATTTTCCTGTAAATACTCCTAACAAATTAGATATAAGACTTGGTAGATCAATATGGCTTTTACTGTCATACTATTAATAAAGGAAATTTGTATAGTTTACATACCACTTAGAACAAAATTAATAATAAATAAATATAAAGAAATTAGTAGCATGTTCACGTGCTCCTCAGGTTATTTCAAAATATGTAGATACAAGAAGAATATCTAGGCAATGACAGATAAATGTCCCGTTATCACTTGTACGGTTAAGATAAGATCAGAAACATGATGATATCATACAAGAAAAGCTAATATAGATACTTATGAGATTACTAGTTTGCTTGAACAGACTTAGAGTTTTGGACTTGCTTACTTGGGAAAAAAACCTTTCATAATAAACATTGGTTGATCAGTTTTCTATGCCCTGTGCATAATAATAATAATAATAATAATAATAATAATAATAATAAACTGCTTCCATCCTGCGACGATACCTGTAATACCATCAAACATCCACATCTGCCTATCCCACGTCCTGGGTAAGGACTCGATATGTAGACAAAATGCCAAATCCAGTCTGAACATCTGGCTGACTGTGCGATGAATGATAATAATAATAATAGTGTAGTAGTAGTAGTAAAGTTGGATGTTTTTCCATTCAGTTTCAGATCATCCATGTAAAGGAGATGGGATAGTCTGGCAGATGTTTTTGATGTTTGATAGCCATGTCCTGAGTTATTCAGTATTGTTGACAGAGGAAACAGTGCAATAACAAATAGTAATGGTGATAATGAATCTCCTTGAAATATTCCTCTCTTGATATTAACCTCTCCCAGCCTCTCACCATTGATCTGCAACTGTGTCTTCCATTGTGCCATCGATCTTTGCACAAATTTTCTGATGTTTCTACTGACTCCTGTTATTTCTAGGCACTTGATTATCCAGTCATGTGGCAGAGTCAAATGCCATAGTGTAGTAGTAGTAGTAAAGTTGGAAGGGACCTTGGAGGTCATCTAGTTCAACCACGTGCTCAGGCAGGAAGCCCTATACCATTTTGGACAAATGGCTGTCCAGTCTCTTCTTAAAAACGTTCAGTGTTGGAGCATTCACCGCTTCTGGAGGCAGGTTGTTCCACTGTCTAATTGTTCTGACTGTCAGGAAGTTTCTCCCTGGTTCTTCTCTTGGTTGCTTCTCTCCTTGGTTAGTTTCCACCCGTTGCTTCTTGTCCTGCCTTCAGGCGCTTTGGAGAATAGCCTGACTCCCTCTTCTTTGGGGCAGCCCCTGAGATATTGGAACATTGCTATCATGTCCCCCCTCGTCCTTCTCTTCGTTACACTAGACATACTCAATTCCAGCAACTGTTTTTTTAGTTGGGAAAACCAAAAGCCAGTTGTCTCAGAATGAAGGACTATTCCCATTTCCTAGGTTCAATTTTCTGAGAAATAGCTCACAATAATGGCTAGTCAGTGGCTCGTAAACTGTTTGGTCCAATTTCCTCTTATCTGGATCTCAAATAATGTCATTCCTCCTCTCTTTCCAAAAAAACCCCCAGGCTCTGTTGTTTTACCCAAGCCTCTTGGCAGCTGCAGTTGCAAACTGGATGTTTATAGAACAAACAGATTGCTTCATGTGCCTAAATTATCCCGCTAGACTAAGTGAGAGTTCCTCTCCTCTCTTCTCACTTTTTTTTCCCCTTCAAGTCAGTGCTTACTCCTGGCAACTACCTGAAATTTCTTGGCAAGATTTTTTGGAAGCGATTTGCCATTGCCTGTTTCCTAAGGCTGAGATATTGTGACTACCCCAAGGTTATTCAGCTGGCTTTGTGCCTAAGGTGGGACTGGAACTCACAATCACCTGGCTTCTAATTTGATGCCTTGATCACTATTCCAAAGAGAATGTCTCTCATTTCGTTAGATATAGGAAATATAGAATACAAATTCAAACACACGTGAGCAGTTTTTATCTGAAAAAAAACGGCAAAACAGACTGATAATCTATTTATGTTTTGGATAGGAAGTAAAGGCCATCTGCTGGTATGAAAGCTTAAATGTACACGTTTCAGTGAGAGTCACACAGGAAAAAAAAATATTTATTTTCTTCCATTGCCAGATTGAAGTGTATATTTAACTGATTCCTATTTCAGGGAACTCTTCTTAACTTATGAGTTAGCATTTAGTACCCAAGAAGGATCAAAAGTATAGTTCAGCTTACTTCCAAATTCATGATACCTACATATCATTTTCCTATAAAATCATCCAAAGTGGTAGAGAAATACTTTGATGTTGGTCTTCAGATATAAGATAAGATAAGATAACCTTTATTGTCATTTTTATAGCGTCAAAAATGAAATTTAGTTGCCCGCTCTCAAAGTGAAACACATACATGACACACACCTAAACATACTATGAACAACATATGTATAGACTCACACCCCTACATATACGTAGCAATAAATATTAAATATTGTCCATCTTGAATATATAATGGAAGGAGGAAGCTTGAGAGTTCGCAAGGTTAATGCTGTATGGAATGAAACTCTGGCTGAATCTGGATGTTCTGCTTCGGATACCACACAGCCTCCTGACAGAGCTGAAATTAGTATGTTCTCCATACTCGAATTGACCTTAAAAACTGCACCAAATACAACATAGCTTTGTGGTTTGGACCAACTTTTAATTTAGTTTTGTCCCTAATTTTCATGGAGGCAATGAGGTCCTGAGAGTCATATCAGAGGCAGCACTTTCAATGTGAATACTGAAGTCCTCAGGGCTGAGAGCCAGGGGCTCTCAGGGCTGTTTCTGTAGTCCTGGAAGGAATGCTGACTGACAGCAGGACAGACATCTCTAGTTCTCTCCCTTGATCCACACATCCCTGAAGCAGACAGACATTCTAGACCAGTGGTGGCGAACCTATGGCACGTGTGCCAGAGGCGGCACTCAGAACCCTCTCTGTGAGCATGCGCACCATCGCCCCAGCCCCTCCTCCCCCTGCAGCCCCCTCCTCACTAGCAGCTCCCCCGGAGGAGAGTCGCCCCCGGGTGCGACCTGCACGGAGCAGCACAGCCAAGCACATGGCAGCCAGGCAGCAGGGACAAGACTCCGCCTTCGTGCCCTGTCGCACACAGATGATGCTGTGGGGAGCAGGCGGAGGGCACGGCTGCCATGGTGCTGCAGGCCCACCTGGACAATCTGTTGCGGTGGCCATGGAGACAGGTGGCCCTGTGGGTGGGTGGGGTTGGGGACGGGGCGGGCAGGCAAGGGGGTAGAGCGGGGGCGGGCTGGAGCGGTGTTTGGGCACTCAGTCTCTAAAAGGTTCGCCATCATTGTTCTAGATAATGGTGAATTTGTTGGTAAAGGAATTAAAGATTGTTTTGGCTGCACCTCTCAATACCCTAAGAGATTCAATTGTTAGAGAACATGAGATCTGAGTCTAGA